AGTAAGAACAGGCAACATCTCCTCCAATATAATCCTCAACACTGGCTCCCCACAAGGCTGCATACTATGCACCCTACTGTACTCCTTATACACACACGTCTGTGTGGACAAATTCCGCACCAACTCCATTTACAAGTTTCCTGATCACACCACCATTGCAGGTCATATCTTAAACAACAATGAGATGGAGTACAAAAAGGAGATTGAGTATTTAATGCAATGGTGTAAAGACAACAATCTCTCCATCAATGTCAGAAAAATGAAGGAGCTGGTCATTGACTTCAGAAAACAGAGTGGAGGGCACTTCCCTATCTGCATCAATGGTGCTGAGATGGGGATGGTCAAGACCTTCAAATTTCTTGGAATTTCAATCACCAGCAATCTGTACTGGTCCACCCACGTTGACACTACAGTCAAGAAAGCACAGCAATGCCTCTCCTTCCTCAGGAAGCTCAGGAAATTCAGCATAAATGTCCATAAAGAGTCTTACCAATTTATATAGATGCACCATGGAAAGCATTCTATCTGGATGCATCACAACTTGGTATGGAAACTGGTCTTCCCAAGACCACCAGAAACCAGAGAGCTGTGAACATAGTCCAGTCCATCACGCAAACCAGCACCATCTATACTTCCCACTGTCTCAGGAAAGCAACCAACATAACCAGAGATCCCTGCCACCCCAAGATCCATAGACTGAGATGACCTATTTCCTAACTTTTCTGAAATAACTCCCTTCTTTCAGAGAAATCCAACTTCAACCCAAGATGCTTACAAACTGAAACCAAAAGCTTTCCCCTAGGCAAAACCAAAAACCTTGCTTTAAATTGAAATTATCCCAATGTTCTTTATTGTTTGCTCTGATTGCTTGTAAAGCTGTCCTAATGCAAACAAATTCCCATTAGTGTGCCATTATCTTTCCCATACTGGTTTCAAAAAACTATGCTTCCACGAATACTGACAAGTTCATCATTAAACCCTTGCAAACACACAGACCAAAACCCACATGCTACTTGTTCAAAGATCAAAAGTCTGCAGTAACGATGTTGAAATATAAATCACAAACTTTACATCAGATGAGGATATCATTGCAGTGCAACACTTCCTAACCTTTTAATAAAGCACTATTGCCAATTCCTAGTTATTAACAGTGCACTAGCATGCCGAGTGAAACAGAGGCTAGGAGGTCAGGCTTTCTCTGACATACCCAGATGTCTTGGCTCAATATTGTGTTCAACACCTTCAAACTGTGAACCCATTCCTTCCCTTTCTTTTAGCTTTGTTTTTTTACATTCTCTGTCACCCCCACTCCCTGCGCCCCAACACCAGTGGCAGTTAGAAACTCCATTGTTCTGCTATTCTCACATTCCGATCACTTAATCTGAACTGTTAACAACCTTTCTCCCCCACCACTCCAACAACCCCCTCCCCACTCTACTTCACCTCTGATGAAGAGTCATCTAGACTCTAAACACTAGCTTGCTTTCTCTCTATGGATGCTGCTTGACCCGCTGTGATCTCCAGCACTTCTTGTTTTCAGTTCAGATTCCAACATCCGCAGTAACTTGCTCCTATATCCGGATGTGTGTTGTGGGAGATCTAAATGAGAATCCATGAAGTAATGACAGGTATGAACAAAATATCACAATGATCAGTGATATTGGCTTCTATGATAATCTTCCAGTGGTCAGACTGAAGTGTGCTTTAATGCAAGCTATTTTTCTACTCATAACAATGATGAACCTATCTGTCCACATAACCCTGCAGGCCATTGTACTCAAAGGAAATATGCCACCTGGTGAAAATGCTGCATCCTGTCTTGCTGATTCTTCCTTTCCAAAAGGAAAGTGGTGACAGCCTTGCCTGTTTCAGGCTTAATGTTGTGACTTCCTTGGCATGTATGCGCACTGATGATTACTTGAAGTGGCAGATATCCCCAGTGGGGATTTGAAGCAACTGCTAGCATGAAACCATCATGCAGCAGTAAACTTCACATCTTCCAGATGTTTCTGTAGCAAACGAAGAAACTGCATTAGTCTGTCTTGTGTAGTATAAATGAAATGAAATCCAACAAACTGTCTCAAGTGTCAGTGCACCTGTATTTCTTGTTCTTTCATTATTTCACTTTTCTTATCCACTAAGGCAACATTGTGTAGAACTCCAAATGGAATCCATCTTCACCATTTTGGATGGCATCTTTTAAAAGGCAGCAGCAACCTCAATAATGCAGTGAGCAAAGTGTCAACAATGATAGACTACTAAAATATATTTCCAAATTTTCAATCACAAAAAATGAACTGAAGGCAGACATACTAATAATAATGATTTCCTTTTAATGAGTCAACTTGAGCAGACCACGTCCCAGAATTCCTAATGTGCTCAGTTTGTGCAGTGAAATTCAGCATGAAAATAAATTTAAATAAACACTTCATGTTCAGGAGATGGATGTGTGCCTACAATGCCTCATTCTGTTCAACATCATATAGTGCAAAATGTGAAGTACACCAAACTTTCTTTAACCGGCACTTTATGAACCAGCACACTCAATAAACCAGCAAAAATTGTATACCTCAAATACCGTGAAGTTTACTGTATTATCTTGTCCAGTTATTATAGGGTTTTTTCAAATTTATTTACCTCCGTGTATATATACTTGTTGTCCAATTGAATGGCCACACAAAATATCAACAGTTGATTCAATTTCGAGTCAATTTATCCTCAAATAACAAGATATCCATGTAGTCAGTTGAGGATGTGAGTTAGAAGGCTCTCTGCCAGCAAGTTTTATTTAAAGCAAAGTTGCATTATTATTCAAGTGATTTATGCTATAAATATAGTACAACAGTGATGTGTAACCACTCTGTATTACATTTCCATTACATAATGTGTTTTTCCATTGTTTATGTAGACCTCCTGATTGTCTGGAATATTTGATCAATTGGCTCAGTCCTGGGCCCATTGGTGCCAAATAAGAATAAATTTACTGTAATTGGGCATTTGAGGTCCACAAGCATATCCGCCTAAACAAAATGATTTCAATAGGCTGGATAAAATGTACAGGTGGTTCTTAGTCTAAAATATTTTCTATCATCCATTACTAAAAACTTACCAACCTAGAAATAAGAGCAGAAACCAATATGGCTGCTCCATCATTCAATATAATCAAGGCCAGGCTTAACATAGTACGTTCAGAAGTAGAAAACTTATAATGCTGTTGTGAAAGATGTGTTTTGAATATTATGAAAAAGATACAGTCAGCTCTGCTGATGCAGTTGTCACATTTTCAGGTTCAGAGAAGGTCCCCTTTATTAATTAGTGCTCTGCAGACAGCATTGGTCTATTCTGAAGTCTCTTCGGGTTCCTTCAGGTCTTCTTGGTTGCACTGTTACTGTCAGAAGACCTCTCTCCTCCAACATTTAATGTTGCTACGTTTGCACAGTGGGCAGTTATGTGACAATTGTTAATATCTTAGCCAGGCTGAATTCTAACATAACCACCACCATCTTTTCAGGTGCCTGAAGCTGTGTATCAGCATTCAAGAGAAGTTCTATAATCTTGGTCTGGCTGCTGAAAGTTGTGAAGAGCTAGATCTTCTGAAGATTGTTTGTGACTTTTCTTTATCAATCAAGGATTGGTAGGAACATGAACTGCTTTGAAATTGAGACATTATGATCTGGAAATGAGAAGTGACTTAGATAATTTAGTGCCAACAATTGCAAATGAACTGTACATTCTGAGAATAGGATCCTTTGCATTTCATATCGATAATGGTATTGTGTAATCAAACTCAAATGGTGGTATATGTGTAAACCCAATGATTTTTGGAAAATTGTGGCACTTTCACAAAATTTATACAACAGCCTCATGCTTCTAATCAATATCCATGGTGAGGAGATAAAATTAGTTGCTTAATCAAATAGGTAGCCTGGGTTTGCTTGAGGCATCTGTGTAGCATAGATTAACCAATATGGTTGATCTTGCCTGTAATGAATGATCCATAAGAAAAGTTTAGGGCTACTATAATGCCCTTAGCCACTGCTTCTGTGCTTGTGAATGGGTTTTGCTTTAATGGCAACTTGTAGCATGTGGCATTACTTCACGTGAGCCGCAAGCTTGGATATTCACTTCTGGGTTAGAAGAGCTGGGACATTCCATCCTCCACAAATCTGATCTGGAAAAACATGCGCCAGGAATAGGGATTTTTATTCTAGGGTAGGAACGTCTTTTGAGACTCAGGCCATATAACTTCATAACAAGTGTAAAGGTCAAAGTCAGTGGAGGTTGACCACACTGAAGGCCTCCCTGAGTGCACCAACACTGTGCTGAAGTTTAAAAAGGATAAAGCAAAAATCATCTCTCCAGGTCTCAACTCTCACACCCTTTGCACAGTCAACATTCCCCATTCAACATCCATGCTAAACTAGCTCCTCCAATCAACCCCATGGCCCCTTATGTTCTCTATGCCAACTTATGCCCCTCTACCCACTACCCTTTGTCCTTACACTCACCATGCCAACTGAGCTAATATCCATCATGAATGCACCACAGTACCCATGTAGAGATGAGATAAAATAAACTTGTAGGAAATCAGTACAGAAATCATTGCATTGGAAAAAAAACCACCCACATAAAAAAACCCATTTATTATATGTACATTCTTCAACTACATAATACCTTAAAGTAACAAACAGTCCATTCAAGTGCACATTCCCTTAGAAAAACAAGCATTGAAATTCATTTAAAGTCCCAGGGCAAACAATCTCTAACCACCTGAAGATGTCAGCCAAACTGTAAAATGGAATGTATCCTACTGTGATAATGGATGATTGTGAAATTGGTTGCACAGCAGCAACCCAGTAATAGAAGTCCCCAGGTTTCGGTCAACAGTCAGATTAAAATTGCAAGCAAACAATTTTTATTTAACACTCCAGACATCTCTTATCAAAGACCAATGAGAATAAGAAAAATTAGGGGCAGAACAAGAGTATCTAAAACTCAGTATTTTAATGAAAAAGAATATTTTAATACTGCAACCAAAAATATTTGCAAAGCCATGATAGTAGCACAACACCACTTTATTCCACTTAAAACAGCACAAGTATCTCAAGAAAATAGCAGAAACTGCACACATCATCTATATTTTTAAAAAGCCATGAAAACCCTAAAAGGGGAAAACAGCACAAGTTAAAGATGGTAGGAATTGCCGATGCTAGAGTCTGAGATAACAAGATGTGGAGCTGGATGAACACAGCAGGCCAGGCAGCATCAGAGGAGCAGGAAAGCTGACATTTCGGGTCTGGACCCTTCTTCAGAAAGTCCTTTCCTCCAACTACAGAGCTAATTAAAAGATAGAAAGCATTTAAAGCATTTCAATGATTCTTAAATATTATAAAATAATTTTTCAACACAAATATGAGAAGAATTCTTAAATACTTAGAATTTTTTGTCTTTAATTAATCAATAAAAAGAAATATTCCAAGTAAATAAGAAAATTGAAGTAAAAATGTATTTATTAAAACAATAAAGCATTTTACTGACAAAGCTTTATTAGCAATTCATCTCTGTTATCAAAGTAAAGAAAGTAATACTATTCTTTTTAAAAAAAACTTGCTGAAGAAGTCAACATTTAAAACAGTTAAAGTGATTGTACAGTTTAAAAGGTAGAACAGCAAAACCAACTTTATCTACAAACAATAAAAAAAGTCCTGCAACAGCTTTCAGGTAAATCATTTAAATTAAAGAACCAACAGTAGTTAAATACAATGACATGGAAGAAAGGTATCACATCTCCAAGCAGATTTCAAACCAGTTAGCTGGGGAATTAAATTGGGCTATATGAAACAGACAATTCGTGTGAAACAGAATTGCTTCAGGATTACAGAAGCAGCCCAGAGTTCTGGGATCAGATCCATGGGTTTACCTCACCTCTCCAAAGAAGTTGGCTAGCTGTCCAAAAAAATCTACAAAGCTCAGACTTGCACTTACCGAGTCTGCATATTTGAAGTTTCACTTTTCAAAGCAAAGAAAACCCAACTTCATTTGAATCAGTTGATGATTGAAATGACCAGCTGCCTCCAGAGTTGCATGAAGGCCTGCCACTGTCATTCCCATCCTGTAAAAATGGGAAATGCCATGTTTAGGGGCCAGAATTTAGGAACTGCAGAATGTTGGAGTTCTACTCCGAGGATATTTCAAGATATACACACATCTGGCTATAATCTCTGCTACAAGTTATGCCAGAAACTCTCCTGTACTGCCTAGTGTGCCTTGTCTCCCTCTGTCTGTATCACTCCAATTCCAAAAGATTCAAACACAGGAAAATCCCTCTGGGGTAACTCATTCATGTACCATTAATAATATTACATAAAGTGAAATTAATTTAACAGTTGAAACAAGGTTTGTTTCAATACTCAAATAAAAACAAGAAAGTATCAAAAAAAAATCATTTTGACAAGTGAAATATCAATTCACCTCATAATCACTCAACTAAAAGTCACTCTGATCAAAAGCTGGACTCTAAACAGCTCTGGAAGCTTATTTTCTGTCAGCAAATTAAATAAAAATTGACATTCTGACAGGAACGCTGGGGACTTCCATGAAAAAAATGTTAAGTACTCATTGTGGCCAAAATTACACATGCAAACTATCAATCTGGCAGATACTACAATGTGCCAGAGAGAAGACACAGAACATTGCACAGGATGTTAAAATGGATTGGGAAAAATGTGACAGTTTTCTTACTCAATTTCTGCCTAGTTTAATAATTTAGACCATAAGAATATAGAGCATAGGAGCAGAAGTAGGCAATTCAGCCCATTGAGTCTACCCTGCCATTCAATGAGATCATGACAATCCTCACTTCCACTTTACTGCTTTTCACCATAACCCTTGATTCTTACTAATTGAAAGTCTGCCTACCTCAGCCTTGAATATACCTAATGACCAGTTTCTACAGCCCCTTGTAGTAAAATATTCCAGACATCTGCTACCTTCTGAGAGAAAAAAGATCCTCCTGCTATCTCATTAAATGGGTAAATCCTTACTTTGAGATTATGCCCTCTGGTTCTAAAATCTCCCTCATGAGCACATAACCTCTTAGTATCTACCCTGTTAAGCCCTCTAAGAAACTTACATGTTTCAAAAAAGTCACCTGTCATTTTTCTAAACTCTGAAGAGTATAGGCCCTACCGCTTCAACCTTTCCTCATAAGAAGATCCCTCCAGTCAGTATATCTTTCCTTAGATAAGGGGACCAAAACTATTCACCATGTTCTGGATTTGTTCTTATTGGGGCCTTGCATAGTTTCAGCAAGACTCCCCTATTTTTATAAACGATACCCTTTGAAACAAACACCAAAATTTTACTTGCTTTTCCTATTACCCGCTGAATGTGGATGCTAAGTTTTTGTGACTTACACATGCAGACTGCCAAATCCTTCTGTGCTGCAGCTTCCTTTCAAAAAAAAGGGCATACAAGTCAAAAGATGACAGTTGCCATCTCATGCCTTTTAACTCAAATGAACATGCCATATGATCTTGTAAAGCAGCTTCATATGTTCCAACATGTGTTCATATGTTGCTGCCATATAAATTCCTTGGGTTTGGTGTCTCTCACCGCAGGACTTTCCTTGCTCTGATTATTTGACTATGCACAGTCAAGTGCTTTCAAGTGCCTTTTTATCTTCAATTTCTCTCTTCATTCTTGCCTGTTTGTAATTGATTCATTTCTGGGTTTACTAGGAAAACTGAATCAAATTTGATATTTGGCTAAGGCTAGTAAATGTTTTGACAATCTGTAAAATATGATGGAGAGATTGTAATTACAGAAGACCACGGAACTTCAGCCATTGTTTTAATTACTTCTACTTTGGAATTCCATATAAAGCTGCTTATACTAATACATTTGACTTTTTGCCATTGTGGGGAAAAGCCAGCTCAGCAACATGTTTAGTTAGTATGTGCAAGGCACACAAACAAAATATGGCCAATGCAAAATCAAGTTGTTAGATTTTTATACCAAAAATGCAGTGTGGAAAAGTGATAGGTGTTAACCTGGGATTCAACTATACTCATACGTGTGTGTATATATGCATGTATGTATGTAAATATATGAACAGGCAGAAACTATGAGGGCGGGGGTGAGTGTTTGGCAGTGTATGATGCATAGTCTTTCTGCAAATAAAAGCTCGTAAGTATACAGAGAGAAGGCTACAGTTATGACCTTCACTGCCTGCTATTTACTTTGTAATATGCTGATAACTCAGCTCTATACCTCACTACCAATTTTATCAACCCCCCCATTATCTCTAAACTACCAGACTGCTTGTTCAACATCCAGTTCTGGATGAGCAGAAATTTCCTCCAATTAAATACTGGCAAGTCCAAAACGTCAGACTCTTCAGTTCCCACCACAATCTCTGTTCTCTAGCTTTTGACTTCATCTTTCTCTCTCTTTCTGGTAATTGTTTGAGGATGAATTAGATTGTACACAAACTTGATATTATATTTGACCACAAGATTTGCCTATGACATCGCTAGAATTTGGCTGTTTCCATTACCATATCATTACCCGATTCTGCCCATTTCAGTTCATCTGTCTGTGGTGCTGTCAATTTAAGCTGAATTATCTCAAAAGACTCTTCCCATTCCCCGTGGATATATTACATTAATGGTCAGTGAAGCAGTTTCTCCTTAATGATAAAAACATACAGTGTCCAAAGATACTCTGAAATAGTAATGAGCTGTTAATCACTGAATTTTCACTGAAAGTGTCTATCTGACATTCCACACCCTAAAAATCATAATACTTTCTTAAAACATGCTAACCATTGAAATAACTCCTCAGAGGCTGGTATCCTGTCACCAAGTCACCCTTTATTTACATGTCATTGACACTGATCCAGCTTCCTAAGCGCCAGCTTTCAGAGTGAACAGGACATCTGACACTCCTGTTCTTATCTGTGAGCCAGGGTTCCCTGATTGGATCAGATTAACAGTCCCAATCAAGGAATTCATATTCTATGAGTTCCACCTGGGTGATTTCAATACAATCACTACATCCCTCTCCTATGAGTCCGAGGACATAGATCAGTTGCATTTTTTATGGCTCTTCCTGGGGTGATTAAGCACAGGTCAGGTTCCTCCAACTCTGCCTTTCATATGACAGCATGTAACACACAGTAGTGCCCAGAGCATCTCAGAAGAAATTCATTCACTTCTTCAGGTGGCAAAGGCATCGAGGCACTGACATTAACCGTGTCAATCTCAGATTCTGAGCTATCTTTAATGTTTGCTAGAGAGGGAGCATCCATGGGCTCTGGAATAGTCGGAACTGCTGTCAAGGAGCCGGCCACGTTTTGCTCTCACAATCTCTGTGAATTTGCAGCTTTCATATGGTCCACGTGCTTGTTCAGGACCATCACACCTACCATAACTTTATACGTCATGGGACTTGACCTCAAATCAACCATGCCTGTTACCCATGCAGGGCCATTCCCATAGTTCCTACACCAAACTTCGTCCCCTGAAGTCTGTTTCCCTTGTTTAGCGGAGTCCTGATGCATTTTCACCCTCCTCCATCCAAGTCCAGGAAGATCAGATTAAACCTGGTGTAGAATCTTCTCCGCATTAGCAACTCTGCTGGAGCTATCCCTGTAGTTGCATGAGGGGCGCTCCTTTTATCAAATAGGAACCAGTACTGTTTGGTATCTAGCATGCTGTTTCTTTAAGCCTGCCAACAAAGTTTGGACTGGTGTTGCAGCCAGATCATTGGATGATGGATGGTACTGAGCTGTTCTTATATGTACCATTCAACTTTAGGAAATACTGAAATTCCTTGCTGGTAAACGATGGCCCATTATCTGTGACCAACACTACTAGGAGTCTGTGTATTCCAAGAGTTGCATGTAGATTTTCAAACATCGTCCCCTGTGTTTGACAAATGAACTTTATGCATGTCCAGCCACTTTGAGTGGGCATCCACAATGTCTAAGAACATTGAGGCCCATGAAAGAACCTGCATGGTCAAAGTGTAACTGAGCCCAGGGTTTACCCAGCCATTCCCACAAATGGTAGGGATCTCCTGGTGGTAAGTTGTGTTCTTGTTGGCACTTTAGGCACTGCCCCACTTACACGGCTATGTTTGTATCCAGTCCGGGCCATCAGACATAGTTTTACACCAACATCTTCATTTTGGAAACCCCTAGATGGTCCTGGTGGAGATCAGCCAGTATCTGGTGGCGACTTTGCTCAGGACAACCACTCTTGCTCCCCATAATAATTCACCATCCTCTACTGTGATCTGGTATCTCCTGGTCCAAAAAGGTTTCAGTTCTGGTTGTCTCAGCCCTTTTGGTTTCCCCCATTATCACCAGCTGCTTCAGTTTTGCCAAGACCAGACTTTTCTGCACCCACAGTCTGATATTGTCAGCTGTGACTGGAAGGGTATCCAGGAAATTTAAAACCATTAATAACTCTTCCAGTAGCAGTAGTACCAGAGGTATATCTGCCAGTGGGAGGTGGGTCAATGCATCCGCATTCGCTACTTGCCCTTCGGGATGATGTCCCAACGTGTAATTATGCAGACCTAATATTAGAACCCACTGCTGAATTTGGCCTGAAGCTATAGATGATTGCTGTTTCTTCATATCCCTGAAAACTATGGCTTGGCTATGGGACAATTTCCAAGGCTGATCCTTTTTTAAGAATTGATGCAAAGGTGGCAGGATGGAGGCCAGATTATGTACAAACTTTCCAAAATAATTCTCCAGCCCAAGGAAAGAACTCCATTACAGACATGGGAGCCGACTTTTGGTCACCCTCACTTTGTCTTCCAATTATATGGTCTTGTTGACACTGCAGCCCAAGTAGGTCACTTGGGACCACATTGTTTTTCTTCAAAAACATATGCCCACCTGGAAGAAACGTCTAAGGACTATGTCCAAGTTTTCTAAGTGCTCCTTATTGGTTTTCCCCGTTATTAGCAATCATATAGAAAAATGGCGATCTGGGTAGACCTTTGTCAGATGAAAAATTGCTCAGGCTGATGATACCCCAAATGGCAGTCTCATATATTGATATAAACCCTTATGGATACTAATTGTAGTATACTTCA